AATTTGTTCAGTATTTATGACCAGTGAACCCAGAACAGCCTTGAGCATAGAGCAGCAATGAGTGCAATGAATATTCCGCCCCTTCACTTTGTGCCGTAGCCTGTGTGCAAATATGAGGCTTGTCCCTATAAAATTAGGCTTATGCCAGTGACATAAGCCCCTTTTTTGGCAGTGTATCTGCATCTGCACTCAGTGCTACAGCTGTGATTGGATCACAGTTGCTATATTGATGTATTGCTTGTTATATCTCCGTTTGGTTTGGTGTTGCAGAGCAGGCCTATGGGGCAGAAGAGGAGGGGTGCTCTGCGCGTAATGCCCCTGTTTCTGGGTAGCAGAGACTGGAAGGGGAATTGTAATAAACACTTACTGGAGTCAAGATATTTATAGGGGAAGTAACAGTGGGTCTTGAGAAAGGCTGTACTTTTTTGCTTTTGTTTTCTAATTGCTTAATATTTTTCTTGCTTCATGATTACCTCACTCGGTAATTTTTGGCAAACTGAAAGAAAAAGCTCCTAACGTTCTGCTAGAATGATGGTGTCTCTCATTGGAGCTCGTACTGTATTTGCGGTTTGCTGAGGTGCCCCCCAGTGTCCCGTAGGATGTTCTTGCTCCCGGGTCTGTGATACGGAGATACCCGCTGGCGACGCGGGCACCGGATACCTGTCGCGTTAGACGTGACGGGTTTCCTTCCTTGCAGGTAGTCTGGAAGGTCTGAAGTACTGAAGGCCTCAGTATTGAAACCTGCCCATGTAATTGGGAGTTAACACAGAGGGTTTTGCGTAGTTGCCTGGTAGTCAAGGTAACCCGTAGCTACCACAGCATATCCAACAGTAACTTTTTATCGTAAGGTGTTGTGAAACAGTGGAAGGTTGCTTGGAAGTGTTTGGGGAACCTAGGCATAAGGAAGCATGATGAGAGGATGACAAGGCAACTGATACCAGGAAAGGAACTAAAAGTTATATTATAAGCAGGCTGGTTACAGGTCTGACCACTGAGCTGCAGGATCTGAAGGAAGGGGAGAGGAAGGTTGTACGTGAGACTTCCTGGTATAGCTGCTCTCTTCCAGCTTGCGGGGTGGATGTATTCACACCTCCAGAGGGAAGGCAGAATGGCCAGGAGGAGAGTTTGCAGCCCAGGGAACAGTGAGAAATGGGAAATAGAAAAGGAAGAGGCAAAGACTGAACGAGGGAAGGAAAACAAACAAACAAAAGGAGACAGTAAGAATAGAGGTATGGGAAGGGCGGAGGGCAGTCGGGCCTCCCGTGTTCCTCAGTGGGGAAAGCAGCAGCAGGGGTGGTGGGAACCTTCCCAGTGGGTTTTCTCTGGCAATGAGCTCGCTGGCGCTCACTGCGGGGTTGTCCAGTTGTCGTGCAGAAGAACACCCGTGCCTGGAAGCTGTCCTGAATGAGGTGAAACACCGGGCTGCATCCAGCCATCCGCCAGGGGTTCTCCAACATGGGAAGTATTGCCAGGAAATCAGCAGCTCAGTGATTTAGTCAAGGCCACAAATACTTCCCTGCCACATACAGGGTGCTCACAACTGTCCAGGTTAAATAGGTCCTTTCCCATCAAGGATGTCCTCTGGCTGCAGTTGTCTGTCAGAGTTCGCTGCTTGTGACACTGCTGCGGTGCTGTGGCTGCAGGAGAGGCTGGGGGCCGAAAAATGAGGTTTCCTTGCTTGGAGAGGGAGAGCCACCTTCTGAGAGCCCTCCAAGTTAGGGCTCCCTGGTTTATGAACAGAGCTGCAAAGCCTCCAGCTTTGATCTGTATGTGGGGAGATCTGGCACAGTGCCTCTCTGTCAGGAAAAACGTATCTAGAGCTTATAATGATTTGCTTTTCTCTAAGTAAGTGGTTGTGTAGGTGGTGGGCATAGTTCTTTTGGTAGTTGTTTACTTAAACAATCAAAGTTGGACAGGTTATTCTTTTGCTCTGGCAAGAGCTGGGAATTAAAAACCTTTTCCATCTTAACCTGAAAATATGATTAAGGTTTATCAGGTTGGTTTTCTTAACAGGATAGAGCATGTAATGTGGTTATTAGCTGAGGATACCTAGAAGCATGTGATCTTCAGCCTCATCCCGTTATTCTTAGCGATGCCTAGGCTTCCATCGCTCCTTTGGGATCGCTCTAGGTTATTATATAAATGTAGAAATGATAAGGAGCTAGACTAGGTGTGACAACTTCTAGGGCACTTGCTCTGTATCATTATCCTCTGGAAAGCATGTACGATAATTCACGGTGTTATTTAATCTGAAATAGTCCCTTTTTGCAATTTGGCAAGGAATTTCCTGGACATGTGGTGTAGCTCATATGATTCATTGCTTTTTGCTTCTCCTTTTATAGGATTGCAGCATTCAATAAAACAGCAGTTCAGCTTTTAATCTGAGCACAGTAGTTTGTGGAACAGCAGAATAATCAAAAGAATCTTTCAGGCTCCCTTTGTCTTTTGGAATTTATTGCTTGATTTATTATGCGCTTGCAGGAGTTTGTGACTGTCTTGGTGCGAGACCCTAGGACACAGAAAGAAGACTCTTGGCATTCATACATAGACTACGAGATATTCATTCATGTGAGTATAAAAATAGCATTGCAGATTCTTTGTATTCATATTGCTGTTTCTGTCTAAGCCCCCTCACTTCAGATATGAAGGGAATTCCTTTACAGCACTCCTGGAAGGCTGGGGGATATTATCCTCCTTTTCCTGGTAGAGATGCAGTGGAACAGGTAAGATACTGCAGGGTTTTGGCAAAGCTCAGTCTGTGACAGAATTGGGACTAGAACCTGATGCTTGGGTTCACATGAGTGTTCCAGAAAATACAACAGACTCTGTTTTTAGTTTTAATTATCAGCTAGAAAATCAGTGCAACAGACTTGCATAGTAAGTGATCTTATAATTATAAAAGAAGTTTGATGCTCAGCTATTCATGAAAGTTGTGAAAACAACTTTCTTTTCAAAGAGTCTGGTAATTTGCACCTTAAGCTCTTCCCCGTTCTTATTTGCGGAGAATATTATTTGGTTTCTGTGATGTGGTTTTCAGTGTTCCTTGACATTCATATTATGTCAGCTTGGTGGTACTTGGTATGTCAAGTAAGTACATTTGTTTATGTAATTGTAGTCTAGCATATGTTTATGGGAGTTATGGTTATTCTGTATCTTAAATCTGTACATAATTTTATTTTGTTGATTATTCTTCTTTGGTGGGTGATTTTTGGAAAGAATCACCTTCATTTCCCAAGTCTAGATCCAGGAATTTTAATTGCTATATAAATAAAGGTTATGGAGTTTATCAGTTATCAGGTGAAGAATTGAGAGCACCAAGTTATGTGGCTGATGTTTGGCACAAGATTGAAAGCATTTCCTTCCTGCGTGGGAGAGTTAAGCATTGCGCATAATGAGAGCAAACAGTCGAATGAATGTCTATACTGACACATTCTGGTGTCCTGTGTGGCAGTCAGAGCTGTGACACTTTCACATTTTGCAATGTGGTTTAAGTACTGTTTCAAAAGCAATTGTGTTTTTGAGTTCTGGCTTTTGGGCGGTTACGCTACAGTGTCATAGGCACTAGTGCTTCTGAAATGGAAGTGTGTGACTGGCTTGTGTTTCCCTGGGCATTTCTGAAGCTGATACACATCAGCTCAGCTTCCTGCCAGGAATCTCCAGAGGCTCGGAGACCGTGTCTGTAGGTAGGTACTGGACCGTACTTAGGTGGATCCAAAATCTGGGTTCTGCCAGGTTCTTGCCCAGCTGGATTCCTCTTCTGCCCAGCTCGTAGCACTTGATTCCTCAAGCTATGAGGCATGGGGATACCAGTCTCTCGCAGCAGGCCGGTGCCTTTGGCCCTGTGCTGCCCGTGTGGGATGAGCGGTGGGAGCTGCCAGCGCTGGCAGCACCGCAGGCTGCAGGCAGAGCGCAGCGGAGCCCTGCGCGGCGCCCAGAGACTCGCTTAGCGTGCCCAGCGCTAGAAAATTTGGCAAAAGCATTTAATTTCCGTGAATTGTTTCTCTCTTGATGAATTGGCATATTTCTGGTGGAATAGTACTGTTCTTTGGGAAAATGTCCAAATACTTGTAATTGCAGGGAGCATTCACATTAGCTTATTTGATTTAACTAGGACTGCAGGCGGAAGAACTCTGTGCAGAGTAAGGGCTTGGAGGATTGTAGCTAGAATAGTGGGGTTTTTTTGTTTTTTTTTTTTATCCTGCGAAGATTGTTTTCTCCTGAAACTTTCTTGTTCCAGAGATTTTTTTTCCCCCCAGTCACTGCAAGTTTATCCTCAGTTGTGTTGCTTTGGAGAAAAGAAAAAAAAATAAAAAAAAAAAGTAAAATGAGAATAAATCCCCTGCACTTTAGTTTTAAACTGGTTTACAAGTTGAAATGTTTTCTATTTCCCAACAGACAAACAGCATGTGCTTTACAAGGAAAACCTCCTGTGTTAGGCGACGCTTTCGAGAATTTGTTTGGCTTCGACAGAGGCTTCAGAGCAATGCTGTGCTAATGTGAGCAATTTAGATTTTGTTTATCAAATATATGATTTTAGAAATCCATTAATAATACATGATTGGAGAGGATTGTTTCTTCTTAATCTTGGGAACTATTGAAATCGGGCTGGAAAGCATCCTGCTCTCTCTGCTAGTATGGTTTTATTTTATACA